ACCCAAGAGCCACAGAATCTGGGCCATGACTCCTTATAGGTCCTTAGGCTCTGCATTATTGGCAGCGTACATCCTCTGTCTTCCCGTTAGGGTGACTAGATGTCTCAATTTCCCAATTTTATAGGGACTGTCCTAATATTTGGGGTTTTGTCTTATATAGGCACCTATTACCCCCCATTCCCATCCTGATTTTTCACACTTGCTATTTGGTTATTCTACTTCCTGCCCTCCAGCTGGCCTCTCCACCAGAGGGGCTGGCGTGGAGGCACGGGGTGGGGGGAGGAGGAGTGTGTTTATTTGAGAAATCAAATTCAGAGGGCCAAATTCTGCTCCTTGTTACACCATATAAATCCAGAGTAACTCCATTAATTTCAATAGAGCTGTGTAGGGTTTAACCCATTGTAAATGAGAACAGTAAAGCTGGAAGAAAATTGGAATTTCCATCTCATAGGAAATTCTGCTATTTCAAAATTTGTTGTCATCCCAAGTTGTGACACAAATTTGACATACTGGATTTTTTTTGAAGGACAGAAAATTCCAAAAGAATTTGATTTGGCAGTGTCGAAAGGCTACATTTCAGCTCAGCGTAGCATTGAACTGTGACTTCCTGAGCTGCCACGATGCCTCATGGGAGTTGTAATTCTGGTGTTTCAAGCCACAATTCTCCATGAACTGGACTCTGAGGCTGGACTATATCTCTAATAGTGCTCCTATTGGTGATGGAACTCCCATAATGCATTGTGGTAGCTCAGCTAGAGAGGAGACTGGTGCATCATGGGAGAGGAGAAGGAAGGCATGAGACAACTGAATTACATCTCCCATGAGGTGACTCGGGCAGATACAAATTAATGTTGAACTGGCCAGAAATGAAATGTTTCAATTTGACAAACCAAAATCTTTCAGTTTGGCTTTACCTGACCCAGAATTAAATATTTTGTTGCAATTTTCCCAACGGAAAAACCAAAAAACGTTGGCAATACCAAAATTTTTCACTGCAGTTGTCAAAACTGCATTTTCCGTCTAAAAAACCTTTTGATAGAAAATTCCCAACCAGCTTTAGAGAATGAGGTTTGCCCCAAGAGGTAAAATCCTGGCTGCATTGAAGTCAAGGGGAGTGTTGTTATTGATTTCAGTCGGACCAGAATTTCATCCATGGAGTTTTTTCTTTTGCAGCAGGAGGGAATTTTGTGGGCCTATATCTGGAGGTACCAGCGCATCCTTAAAGCCAATGGCCTATTTAAAGAAGGGGCAGTTGTATGTCCCATTGCTTCACCGGAGGTGCGGTTCCACCAAGAGTAGCATGCTTTTGGTTTTTATTCCAGAGAGACACAGAGTCTAGCACATACTGGTTAAAATGGAAACCAATAGTATGTGCTGCCAAGTACAGCAGCAGAAGAAAAGGCAGCCGTTCAGGTAAATCCTGGACTCCACTGTGCTGCGTTTAAAAGCATCACTGTGAACTGTTTATGTGAATCCGTGCTGAAGGCTGTAGGTGCCAGGTGCAGTCCTAACTTCTATTTTAGGAGCTATGCTGTATATCAGAGCGTCTCTGTTCACTTGGTCTCAGTGCACCGCATGATTCAACTACTGGAGAGGCTTCCTGTCAGTACAGAAGCAGCAGATTTTTATCAACCGCCAGAGAGTCCAATTTGGGAGCAGACATTCAGTCCCAGGCTGCGGGCAGATTATTAACAATCTCCTATGAGCAGGGAGCAATTCCTTGTATTGCTAGGTCAGGGAATGACCCTGAGCTAACGATTTTACCCTGGGGCAAAGTGATATGATAATAGCCAGAGAGAGAAGAGAAATAACAAGAGTAGGGGTAGAGGGAAATAACATTTCTTTTCAGGGGAAGTTTTTTTCCCCTAAGACCTCTTCCTAAGATATATGGAGCTTCGGAAGACGTGTTGCTAAGTTTGTTCAGAATTCTTTTATTAACAAAATTAAATAAAAATACGGATGGGTCTGGACCAGAACCCTGGATCTAAACTAGGGCTGTCAAGATATTAAAAAAACTAATTGCGATTAATCGCACTGTTAATAATAGAATACCATTTATTTAAATATTTTTGGATGTTTTCTACATTTTCAAATATATGTATTTCAGTTACCACACAGAATACAAAGTGCACAGTGCTCACTTTATATTATTTTTATTACAAATATTTGCACTGTAAAAACGATAAACAAAGAAATAGTATTTTTCAATTCACCTCAGTCCACTCAGTCCTATTTCTTGTTCGGCCAATCGCTCAGACAAACAAGTTTGTTTACATTTGCAAACCTTAATGTGTTGTTGCTACAGGAATAATCTCCAAAGGGCAACATTATTCTTCTCTCCACAGAATGCTGCCAGTGCAGGTTCCTTGGACTGAATTCTCCTAGGTACTATCTGTGCTGACTTCAGAATTGTTTGAGCATCGTTTGCAACTACCTGGTGTTGTAATTTAGAATGGGGAGGGCCAAGCAATACTTTGAAAAACTCTGTGCTGGGCCAGGCTAAAACACTGCTTTAGAGAAAGGGTTTTAACATGCTCTGCTCCATCCATATGCTAGCTGGCCAGACTGTTCTAAACTGGCTGATTAGGAATCCTGTTTTTAATGTGATTTTTAAACACAGCAGTGAAGCTAGTGTCGATGGGGCTTGGCTGCTTTCCAGCAACCCTGACTGTCTGCTGGGAGAGATAATAAAAGCAGTTGATAGCAAGCTTGTTAAAAAGGTTCAATAATACATTATAGAAGCGGAAAAGTAATTCTAACAAGCTTTCTTGCCACGTTCTTCAACATGGTGCTGGCTGCTCCCCACTGCACTCCAGCCTTCTACAAATTAACGCATGCAACTTTTTCCTTCTAGCCTGGCAGCAAGGCAGAGATTGTGATCAGTTATTCCCTTTGGATGGAGCAAAAAGAATTGCTGGAATATTTCTTAGGCCATCAGGACATTAACTTCTGAATTTAATGCACAGGGCTTACGGCTTCCCTGGGCAATGGAGATGTGGCTGGTTTTGAAACAGCTTTTAGTTTGACAAAGTCTATTGCCCCTATGAAAAAAGCTGTGGTGAGTGATGGTTCATGCATATTTTCTTCAATTGTCTGTGAATTAGAATGAAGAGATCTATGAAATGTCGCCCATAGGTTTCTATCCTACCTGCTATAAGCAGTGTCCAGCTATTCCAGACACACGTTGAATTTGTTACATGTGGGCAGAATGCCTGTGTGTAAATTTCATCTTGAACAGCTATTGGAAGAAGAAGCTAGAAGCAGGCAGGACTTGACCCTACAGTTCTTGGCAACAGCGGTGCCTGTCTGCAGTCAGGCTCAGTCACATCAGAGAACACTGGAAAGTGGAAATTATAAGAGCAATTTTAAAATATCTCTATAAAATGTTATAGCATCAAAGTGGGCAGGCAAGGAACCAGCCGTGGTTGGAAGTCCAGTATTCTGTCCCAGTGCTGAGAGCTAGATGCTGTTAGCTTTTGTTTTTAATAGGGCTGTCGATTGATTGCAGTTAATTCACGCGATTAACTCAAAAAAATTAATCGCGATTAATCGCACTGTTAAACAATGGAATGCCAATTGAAATGTATTAAATATTTTTGGATGTTTTTCTATATTTTCAAATATATAGATTTCAATTACAACACAGAATACAAAGTGTACAGTACTCACTTTATAATTTTTATTACAAATATTTGCACTGTAAAAAACAAACCGTAGTGCAATCTCTTTATCATTAAAGTGCAACTTACAAATGTAGTTTTTTTGTTACATAACTGCACTCAAAAACAAAACAATGTAAAACTTTAGAGCTTGCAAGTCTACTCAGTCCTACTTCTTATTCAACCAATCGCTAAGAGAAACAAGTTTGTTTTCATTTACGGGAGATAATGCTGCCCACTTCTTAATTACAATGTCACCTGAAAGTTGAGAACAAGCGTTTGCATGGCACTGTTGTAGCTGGTGTCGCAAGATATTTACGTGCCAGATGCGCTAAAGATTCATATGCCTCTTCATGCTTCAGCTCTCGTTCCAGAGGATATGCTTCCATGCTGATGACACTTGTTAAAAAAATAATGCGTGTATTAAATTTGTGATTGAACTCCTTGGGGGAGAATTATATGTCTCCTGCTCTGTTTTACCTGCATTCTGCCATATATTTCATGTTATAGCAGGCTCGGATGATAAATGATAGAGATTGCACTACAGTACTTGTATTAGATGAATTAAAATTCCTTTTGTTTTTTACAGTGCAAATATTTGTAATCAAAAATAAATATAAAGTGAGCACTGTACACTTTGTATTCTGTGTAACTGAAATCAATATATTTGAAAACGTAGAAAACATCCAAAAATATTTAAATAACTGGTATTCTATTATTGTTTAACAGCGCAATTAATC